AATGTCTACAGCATTGAAGGTCCACAAGAACACAGTGGACTCCATCATTCTTAAATGGAAGACGTTTGGAACCACCAAGACTCTTCCTAGAGCTGGCCGCCTGGCCAAACTGAGCAATCGTGGGAGAAGGGCCTTGGTCAGGGAGGTGACCAAGAACCCGATGGTCACTCTGACAGAGCTCCAGAGTTTCTCTGTGGAGATGGGAGAACCTTCCAGAAGGACAACCATCTCTGCAGCACTCCACCAATCAGGCCTTTATGGTAGAGTGGCCTGACGGAAGCCACTCCTCAGTAAAAGGCGCATAAGTTTGCCAAAAGGCACCTAAAGGACTCTCAGACCATGAGAAACAAGATTCTCTGGTCTGATGAAACCAAGATTAAACTCTTTGGCCTGAATGCCAAGCGTCACGTCTGGAGGAAACCTGGCACCATCCCTACGGTGAAGCATGGTGGTGGCAGCATCATGCTGTAGGGATGTTTGTCAGCGGCAGGGACTGGGAGACTAGTCAGGATCTATGGAAATATGAATGGAGCAAAGTACAGAGAGATCCTTGATGAAAACCTGCTCCAGAGCCCTCAGGACCCCGAGACTGGGGCGAAGGTTCACCTTCCAACAGGACAATGACCCTAAGTACACAGCCAATACAACGCAGGAGTGGTTTCAGGACTAGCCTCTGAATGTCCTTGAGTGGCCCAGCCAGAGACCGGACTTGAACCTGATCGAGCATCTACTGGAGACCTGAAAATAACTGTGTAGCGACGCTCCCCATCCAACCTAACAGAGCTTGATAGAATCTGCAAAGAATAATGGTTGAAACTCCCCTAATACAGGTGTGCCAAGCTTGTAGCGTCATACCCAAGAATACTCAAGGCTGTAATCACTGCCAAAGGTGCTTCAACAAAGTACTGATGTAAATGTGATATTTAAGTTTTTCAAAAAAACTGTTTTTCCTTTGTCATTACGGGGTATTGTGTGTAGATGATGAGGGGGGGGGAAACAATTTAATCAATTTTAGAATAAGGCTGTAACATAACAAAATGTGGAAAAAGTCAAGGGGTCTGAATACTTTCCGAATGCATTGTATACTGTATCTGTATGTAAAACATTTACATTTGAGATTTTTGTCATTTAGCAGATGGCCTTATCCAGAGCGACTTGCAGTAAATGGATTAATCTTAAGATAGCTCAGTGGAAAAAGTACCCAATTGTCATACTTGAGTAAAAGTAAAGATGCCTTAATAGAAAATGACTCAAGTAAAAGTGAAAGTCACCCAGTAAAATACTACTTGAGTAAAAGTCTAAAAGTATTTGGTTTTAAATATACTTAAGTATGAAAAGTAAATGTAATTGCTAAAATATACTTAAGTATCAAAAGTAAAAGTAAAAGTACAAATAATTTAAAATTCCTTATATTAAGCAAACCAGACAGCACAATTTTATTGTTTTTTAAATGTATGGATAGCCAGGGGCACACTCCAACACTCAGACATAATTTACAAACAAAGCATTTGTGTTTAGTGAGTCCGCCAGATCAGAGGCATTAGGGATGACCAGGATAATTGGACCATTTTCTGTCCTGCTAAGCATTTAAAATGTAACGAGTACTTTTGGGTTTCAGGGAAAATGTATGGAGTAAAAAGTACATTATTTTCTTTAGGAATGTAGAGAAGTAAAAGTAAAAGTTGTCAAAAGTATAAATAGTAAAGTAAAGTACAGATACCCCAAAAAACTACTTAAGTAGTACTTTAAAGTATTTTTACTTGAGTACTTTACACCACTGCAAATATACAAGATACAAACATTCCATTCCATTCCAGTTAAACAATGGATATACAGTGGGGAGAACAAGTATTTGATACACTGCCGATTTTGCAGGTTTTCCTACTTACAAAGCATGTAGAGGTCTGTAATTTTTATCATAGCTACACTTCAACTGTAAGAGACGGAATCTAAAACAAAAATCCAGAAAATCACATTGTATGATTTTTAAGTAATTAATTTGCATTTTATTGCATGACATAAGTATTTGATACATCAGAAAAGCAGAACTTAATATTTGGTACAGAAACCTTTGTTTGCAATTACAGAGATCATACGTTTCCTGTAGGTCTTGACCAGGTTTGCACACACTGCAGCAGGGATTTTGGCCGACTCCTCCATACAGACCTTCTCCAGATACTTCAGGTTTCGGGGCTGTCGCTGGGCAATATGGACTTTCAGCTCCCTCCAAAGATGTTCTATTGGGTTCAGGTCTGGAGACTGGCTAGGCCACTCCAGGACCTTGAGATGCTTCTTAGTTGCCCTGGCTGTGTGTTTCGGGTCGTTGTCATGCTGGAAGACCCAGCCACGACCCATCTTCAATGCTCTTACTGAGGGAAGGAGGTTGTTGGCCAAGATCTCGCGATACATGGCCCCATCCATCCTCCCCTCAATACGGTGCAGTCGTCCTGTCCCCTTTGCAGAAAAGCATCCCCAAAGAATGATGTTTCCACCTCCATGGTTCACGGTTGGGATGGTGTTCTTGGGGTTGTACTCATCCTTCTTCTTCCTCCAAACACGGCGAGTGGAGTTTAGACCAAAAAGCTCTATTTTTGTCTCATCAAACCACATGACCTTCTCCCATTCCTCCTCTGGATCATCCAGATGGTCACTGGCAAACTTCAGATGGGCCTGGACATGCGCTGGCATGAGCAGGGGGACCTTGCGTGCGCTGCAGGATTTTAATCTATGACGGCGTAGTGTGTTACTAATGGTTTTCTTTGAGACTGTGGTCCCAGCTCTCTTCAGGTCATTGACCAGGTCCTGTGTGTAGTTCTGGGCTGATCCCTCACCTTCCTCATGATCATTGATGCCCCACGAGGTGAGATCTTGCATGGAGCCCCAGACCGAGGGTGATTGACCGTTATCTTGAACTTCTTCCATTTTCTAATAATTGCGCCAACAGTTGTTGCCTTCTCACCAAGCTGCTTGCCTATTGTCCCGTAGCCCATCCTAGCCTTGTGCAGGTCTACAATTTTATCCGTGATGTCCTTACACAGCTCTCTGGTCTTGGCCATTGTGGAGAGGTTGGAGTCTGTTTGATTGAGTGTGTGGACAGGTGTCTTTTATACAGGTAACGAGTTCAAACAGGTGCAGTTAATACAGGTAATGAGTGGAGAACAGGAGGGCTTCTTAAAGAAAAACTAACAGGTCTGTGAAAGCCGGAATTCTTACTGGTTGGTAGGTGATCAAATACTTTTGTCATGCAATAAAATGCAAATTAATTACTTAAAAATCATACAATGTGATTTTCTGGATTTTGTTGACATATTGAAGTGTACCTATGATAAATGTTACTGACCTCTACATGCTTTGTAAGTAGGAAAACCTGCAAAATCGGCAGTGTATCAAATACTTGTTCTCCCTACTGTATATAGCGTTTTGCAAGAAAAATACAGATTTTCATCTAAAATCGATGAATAAAAAATTTGAGAACAGTAATATTTTACACACACATGAAGGTACCCATAAGCAATCATTTCTGATGAAAACACACAAATGTGAAACATTTGTGGATATAGGGTTTTGGAAATAAACTCTTCACATTGATATTTATCTTCGTAGGTGGGACTCCAATGAATAAGTCAGAGGTCTGGGTTCAGTGTTTTCAGAAGAGAAGGGGAAAAAGCAGCACAGGCACTAACGCACAGGATGTGACACTGATCCAATTCGTGGATTTCTCTCTTCAGGCCACAGCAGTGAACAGACTAACAGATGGAGACCAGACATGTCAGAGGGATTTTGTCACATCCTGGTGTTACATTGAAAGCAGAATAAATAATAATTATTGAAAACATGTTCCTCAGAGGATAGATTGCCCTGATCTAGCTGAATTATATGAAATGTTTGGCTAAACATAGCAGTTGAACTAAACATTAGATTATGCATCATGTAACCAAATTTGCACAAGCAAAACAATATCCTCAGTAAAATATGTTGCTAGTAGGACTTGAAGAACACAGCCAGATAGTAGTTTTTTTTCTGCAAAATTTAATTTCAGACATTGTGTCAATGACACTATGAGCACAGGCAGTGTGTTATAATGATCCTAGAGATTTTAAGTATTTTGTTTCCAGATGACTGCTTAGGCTATTATTTGTATAACTGGTAATCAAACACACAATTGGTTTTTACTGTTTGTAGCCTACTTGAAGAGTATTGTCTTCATGGACAAGTAGGCTGAACAAATGTCAATGGCTTTCTGTTTACAGAATAGCTAGCTGCCTTACCATACAAAACAATGTGGCTACCTTCATTATCTCAATGTAATAAACTGTCTGTAAACTGGTATTACTGGCTAGTATGTCACAGCTTCCTGCGTCCTCTATTTGTACTGGTCCTCTAAACCTTTGTCAGGATCAAAGCAGTGTATATTTCCCAGTCCAAACAATAACAAATTCATAGACAGAGCTATGGATGCAAGGACTGACCGTCAATGATATACAAATGATAGTTTTAACCATGTTTTGAGGCTATACAGTGTGTGTTTACAGTAAGGCCTGCATTGTTTACTAACAGAGTAAAACAAGCATATTTTGGGTTCTGATGGGTTATGACAGTTTATATTACTCATTTAACAGTCCAAAAATGTATTATGGTATATAAATCACCAGGTTTTTAGAAATAATATGGTAAAATTGTAATTACACAGTAATAACATATTAATAAATTAAAAAGCACAATTTTGCACCATTTGCCAGGATGAGTACCAGAAAGTGGGCTATTCCTTTGATACATTTATTTTCCAACTAAATATGCAGAAAGGAAAGGAGTAAGGAAAATACTGTTGTGCCTGTAGGCATGTTTCTGCAGTAACCTGCCCAACCAAACCACAACTGTGCTCAGGTTAACTGTAACTGAGGGAATGGAGGGAGCCTCTCAGTCATTAATCCATTAGTAGGCTACTAAAGATTCTGCACTCCTCCCTCACACACACAGCTCTCCCGTTCGTTTTTTCCATCATGGCTCCCTCCGCAGACAGACTGGGGTACTGGGGGCGGCCAACCTCAACGCTGGATTGGTGTGAGGAGAATTATGTCGTCTCTTTCTACATCGCAGAATTCTGTAAGTACATCTGACACTATGGGTATGGCTAAACTGGAGTTTTAGTAAACGAAAACGAATGCAATAAACACGGATGAGGATCCTTGCAGAAGGCCGTCTCGGGAATAGGTAAACATCATGACAATGAGCCTGGTGGTGACATCGACATTCCCGTACGCTCGCGTCAGCAACCTATCTTTTATTTTAATAGGCCTACAACTATAACTGATACATTTTATCGGTGATGTTTTATACCGGTAAGTACGTTGCGTGTGCGATGCCACGATGCAGACCCGATAATGAGTCAGAACTTCATTTGCAGCTGCAGCACCGCCCGTTCAAGTACCTTTGCTATTACTTTAATAGGCTATCTAGCTATATCAATGAGCTAGCTATACACTGATTCACGGCACATTAAAGTCGCTACAAGACATCTTCAGCTTAATTCTGGGACAGCACAACATGTTTCTATTAATGATAATTAACCTTAAGACTAAGAGCTCCATTCCAAGATGAAAGCCGGCTACTCGGCATTCGTGATTTGCTTTTGGATACCTTTCTGAATGATACATGAGAGTGATAAAGGATTATGAGTGCAGCAGGCACTAGGCTTTCTGAGGAAACAACGCCCACTGACGTGTTAGGTCTGAACTGGCTGCAAAGGGCACTTCATTACATTTACGTCATTTAGCAGACGCTCTTATCTAGAGCGACTTACAGAGCCTGGATTCGAACCAGGATCTCTAGTGGCACAGCTAGCACTGCGATGCAGTGCCTTAGACCACTGCGCCACTCGGGAGATACTTCATGATCCACCATTGTATTTAAGGTGGAACTATGTCAAGTGGGTCATAGTTAATTGTGTTGGACTACTGCTCTTTTACCTTTCTCTCTCTCTGACTCACACATGACTCACATTACACTGAGTGATCCAACACCCCTTGTCTTCTCTCCTTCGGGAAGGTGAAAACACTGTAGCTCAGTTGGTAGAGCATGGCGCTTGCAACGCCAGGGTTGTGGGTTCGATGCCCACAGGGGGCCAGTATGAACAATGTATGCACTCACTAACTGTAAGTCGCTCTGGATAAGAGTGTCTGCTAAATGACTAAAATGTAAATGAATTTCACATGCATCATATGAATAAAAAAGGCATGGAACTGATAACAGAACACTTACATTGCTCTTATAAATATGTAGTAACACTGTATTACTTAAGTCACCATGTAAAGTGTTACTGATACACCACAGTCTGTTGCAACCTGGTCTCAGAGCATTTTGTATTATTATGTAAGTAATGCAGAGATGCTCCATTTAGTATGATATGTTAAGTTTCGTATGGAATGTATTGTTTTGTGGATGTCCAGCACCCATTTCGTTTGATATGTTACGAATTTGCAAAACAAACAATATGTTACAAATTTGGAAAATGTACTATATGTTATGAATTTGCAAAACATATGATATGTTACGAATTCTAGCTAGGTGGCTAGGTGGCTAATGTTAGCTAGCTGGCTAACGTTAGCTAGCTAGCTAATGTTAGCTAGGCTAGGGGTTAAGGTTAGGGTTAAGTTTAGGAGTTAGGTTAAAGGGTTAGGGTTAGGGGAAGGGTTATCTAAAATGGTTAAGGTCAGGGTTAGGGGAATGGTTAGCTAACATGCTAAGTAGTTGCAAAGTAGCAATAAATTAGTAAGTAGTTAAAAAGTTGCTAATTAGCTAAAATTGTCCGTGATGAGATTCGAACTTGCAACCTTTGGGTTTCTAGACATTCGCATTATACACCCATTCATCCACCCTGACCAACTACCCTACTTAAATTTTTTGCCTTAAGTAACCATGTCTTATGTAACCATACCAAATGTAACATATCATACTATTTTGAGTGTCCCGGATTTACATTTACTGTGTTACGTCTAGTCTATGAGATCAGGCTGTCCACACGACTAGGAGAGTTTTAGGCAATGGTTGGTTTGGCTTTTAAATGGGGTCCCAAATTGTAGAATAAAAGGCCTAGAATGTGCAATGTCCAGTAAATTTGATGTGGAAGACAGACAAAGAAAGAGGCCACCACAATTTTTGTGCTATTGTGTGTGTGCTAGATCACATATTTCAAAACCTCAGCAGAGGAGAACAATAGTAGCGCTGCTTGCACATCAAGGTAGGTCAGAGTACGTTAAACAGGAGATTCTCCTCGTTTGCTAAATTAAACATACAGAAACGTTAAACAGGAAAGTTCCTGGCATTTTACTGAATACAGCACCTTGGGGCATGCCTGCTGTTATTTGTGCTGAAATCAGTCAGCCTAATGTACAACACAAGATTAAGATTACGATCACTTTATTGGTAAATTGCACACAATGTCCAACCGAAATTTGACTTCTGCTTTTAACCCAACACCTCTGAAAGACACACATACATACAGATACATATACAGGTGTGTATGTAATGTACAACGCCAGCCTAATGTAAAACATAAATCATGTACAACAGACATCCAACCTACATTCCTGAGTACCTAGATTTGTAAGAGTGTTGGCAGACAGGTTGCCTCCCCCAATGTAAACAATGCTCCACATCTGAGATTTCAAAGGCTCCAAGCTCTGGATGTAAGAGGAACAAATAACTGAGTTAGCCAGGGAGCTCTTGTAGTGTTTTACCTCTTGCATACTGTATAAGCCCCAAGAAGCTCCATTCTAATCATTAGCATGTCCATTTCCCATCAGTCTATATGTTAAATGGTTTGATTGTTCCTAACTTGATCACTAACCATCGCTGGGAGTGGTGAAATCTTCAAATGAATGACTAAATAAAACTAATTTCACCAGTCTAAATCTTACAAACGTATAAATTGGACCTGCTTACAGAATGTAAACACGATTCTTTCTCTAAAACCTTGTTTTCTGTCTGCTAAGAGACACTCAGGAAATTCTACACATATACACCAAATGAGTGTGGTTGTTGTTTGCTATCACACAGTACATGTTGTATTGTCTTCCGCTGACAGTTGCTCTGTCTGTTATCTTGTTGTACAGGGAACACTGTCAGTAACCTGATTATGATCCTGCCTCCTATCTACGGTGCCATCCAGACGTATAAAGACGGCCTAGAGTTCCGCTACGTCTACTCCTTCCTTGGACTGGCAGGTAAGTGTTCCATAGACAAGGAGAGCCGCACACGCTAGGAGCTCAGATGCAATAATTTAATAACCAACGTTTCGACAGACAAGCTGTCTTCATCAGGGTATAATTACAGGTGTCTGTAATCATGGCCGGTGTGGCTTGATTTCATTGGTTAATTTACAGATATAAATAGAACATATAAAAAGCATGAATGTATAACATACAATCATAGATACAATTTGGCTACATATGCCTACAAACATTTACAATTTGTAGGCCTATGTAGCCAAATTGTATCTATGATCGTATGTTATCCATTCATGCTTTTTATATGTTCTATTTATATCTGTAAATTAACCAATTAATTCAAGCCACACCCGGCCATGATTACAGACACCTGTGTGTCCTTTGAAACTATGTAATTGTACCCTGATGAAGACAGCTTGTCTATCGAAACGTTGGTTGTTAAATTATTGCATCTGAGCTCCTAGAGTGTGCGGCTCTCCTTTTCTTTTTCAAGTGTTCTACTCCGCTAGCCAGCACCTCGCCTAAATACAGTGGGGAGAACAAGTATTTGATACACTGCCGATTTTGCAGGTTTTCCTACTTACAAAGCATGTAGAGGTCTGTAATTTTTATCATAGGTACACTTCAACTGTGAGAGACGGAATCTAAAACAAAAATCCAGAAAATCATATTGTATGATTTTTAAGTAATTAATTTGCCTTTTATTGCATGACATAAGTATTTGATACATCAGAAAAGCAGAACTTAATATTTGGTACAGAAACCTTTTTTTGCAATTACAGCGATCATACGTTTCCTGTAGGTCTTGACCAGGTTTGCACACACTGCAGCAGGGATTTTGGCCCACTCCTCCATACAGACCTTCTCCAGATCCTTCAGGTTTCGGGGCTGTCGCTGGGCAATACGGACTTTCAGCTCCCTCCAAATATTTTCTATTGGGTTCAGGTCTGGAGACTGGCTAGGCCACTCCAGGACCTTGAGATGCTTCTTACGGAGCCACTCCTTAGTTGCCCTGGCTGTGTGTTTCGGGTCGTTGTCATGCTTGAAGACCCAGCCACGACCCATCTTCAATGCTCTTACTGAGGGAAGGAGGTTGTTGGCCAAGATCTCGCGATACATGGCCCCATCCATCCTCCCCTCAATACGGTGCAATCGTCCTGTCCCCTTTGAAGAAAAGCATCTCCAAAGAAAGATTTTTCCACCTCCATTCTTCACGGTTGGGATGGTGTTCTTGGGGTTGTACTCATCCTTCTTCTTCCTCCAAACACGGCGAGTGGAGTTTAGACCAAAAAGCTCAATTTTTGTCTCATCAGACCACATGACCTTCTCCCATTCCTCCTCTGGATCATCCAGATGGTCATTGGCAAACTTCAGACGGGCCTGGACCTGCGCTGGCTTGAGCAGGGGGACCTTGCGTGCGCTGCAGGATTTTAATCCATGATGGCATAGTGTGTTACTAATGGTTTTCTTTGAGACTGTGGTCCCAGCTCTCTTCAGGTCATTGACCAGGTCCTGCCGTGTAGTTCTGGGCTGATCCCTCACCTTCCTCATGATCATTGATGCCCCACGAGGTGAGATCTTGCATGGAGCCCCAGACCGAGGGTGATTGACCGTCATCTTGAACTTCTTCCATTTTCTAATAATTGTGCCAACAGTTGTTGCCTTCTCACCAAGCTGCTTCCCTATTGTCCTGTAGCCCATCCCAGCCTTGTGCAGATCTATAATTTTATCCCTGATGTCCTTACACAGCTCTCTGGTCTTGGCCATTGTGGAGAGGTTGTAGTCTGTTTGATTGAGTGTGTGGACAGGTGTCTTTTATACAGGTAACGAGTTCAAACAGGTGCAGTTAATACAGGTAATGAGTGGAGAACAGGAGGGCTTCTTAAAGAAAAACTAACAGGTCTGTGAGAGCCGGAATTCTTACTGGTTGGTAGGTGATCAAATACTTATGTCATGCAATAAAATGCAAATTAATTACTTAAAAATCATACAATGTGATTTTCTGGATTTTTGTTTTAGATTCCGTCTCTCACAGTTGAAGTGTACCTATGATAAAAATTACAGACCTCTACATGCTTTGTAAGTAGAAAAACCTGCAAAATCGGCAGTGTATCAAATACTTGTTCTCCCCACTGTAGGTGTGCGTTTCTTTCGCCTTCAGATTAAAGTGTTCCATAGACATCTGGATTGATTAGCATCATTTACTCATATCTGAGTATACATATATAACCTTTAGTATAACCTTAGTCACAAGGATTTGGCAAAGTTAGTATTTTTAAAGTGAGAGTTTTATTAGACAATGTTTGAAATTGCATTATCAAGATGCTTTCCTGTATTTGAGAGATGGGTTTGAATGTCTATGCTTCTTGCTGGTTGTTTGATGTGATCTCTTCTGTTCCAGCTGTTGGCATTGGTTCCTGGTGCTTCCATATGACGCTGCAATATGAGATGCAGGTGAGCTGACTTTTAGTATCTAAAAATAAATCATGATTTGTCAGCAAACTGTATGCATCCACCATAGATCATTGTGTTCTCATAATCACATGGACTTTTTCAGCTGTTAAGGACATTAAAAATGTCACCTCATCGTTTCCCGCAGAATGCTCATGAAACTGTTTTTCAACTCTCCTTATAAGTAAGGCTTGCGCCGACCATCCCATTATACATCTCTATCTGTGTCTCTGCTGTCTGTCCCCCACAGTTGCTGGACGAGCTGCCAATGATCTACAGCACCTGTGTCTTTGTCTACTGTCTGTAAGTGCCCGACATAATGGATTTGCACTCCAGCTTTCACAGTGCCATTGAGCAGCTCAGGCCCAAAGCCCACTGAAAGTAATTTGAGGGCAGTATACATGTGATCAATGAAAAGTGAATCCAATCCTACAATTGATCTATCCTAAGAAAACACATCTTTCTCGTGGCTGTAGATGACATGTAACTGAGCTGATGTCTATGGATTCAGTGCCACTTGCACTTCCTCCATTTTAACTGGGTCATCTTTCATCTTGCTCTCATCCCTCTCAAAAGCCTTATGTCTATAACTACAAATATGTTTTATTAGAGGAATGAGAAATTCATTAATTTTTTTCTGTTGCAGATATGAATGCTTCAAGCAAAAAAACACTCTGGGTTTATTCCCTATCACGTTGTTATTCATCTTCAGTGTCTCAGTCAGTGTGGTGAGTGTCTCATATTTCCCACAACTGTTTTGTCCCTTTTCATTCCATGACTATATGTCAATGATTAATGTCACTATCCCAATTCTCTTTTTCCCAGGTGTACTTACAATGGAAAGAGCCAGTCTTTCACCAGGTAAGAGAGAGTAGATTTTCACTCTTCAGTGAGCATGCTCTTTGTTTGCTATTAGAGTTCACTGTTTCATTAGTAAATATTGCCCCTGGCTAACTGTGGGAACAGCCGGACTAGAGGTCCTGTTAGATCTAGTTAGATTGCTATTGTGGCATGTCCGTGCAAATGTCTCTGTTCAGGAATCTAATATTTTGTATTGACAATGACGCACAATACCTTTTGACTATGGCTCAGCCTAATCTTACAACTCCAGGTTACAGTTGTATTATAAACTCCTCTCTAGCATACTGTCACAATAGTCAGTGAGGCTGTGGATATTGAGAGTCTAGAGAAGCGTCTGTGTTGCTCCACAACAACAGAAACAAAGTGACAAAGCAACCTTTGTTTACACTTCAGAGCCCTCTGCTTACTAAACCCCACCACTCCATGGTGGCACACATTTAGCCATAAACATGCCCACAACAGTCAGTTTTAGAGGACATGGAATTGATTGATTGAATTGATTAGATAATTAAAAGCAGTAGGCTGCTCCAGCCGGAGACAACATTACATACATAAAAAATGATTGAGGATAAAAACACATTAAAGCCCGAAGGCTTATTTCCATTGTGGTCCCCGGAGACAGTTAGATGGCAGGTGGGAATGAGCTCTAGATCAGCATGTCAGCATATTATTTCAACGGATTCTTAGCAAACTGATGCAGGGAGTTGATTTGCTGCAGTACCCATTTAGATACTCGAGTACACAAAAGAGCAGTCTTTATTTGAGCATGGATTTAGCACAACCTGGTGGTTAGACCTTGTACATGCTGTACGGTAGTGTTGTCTATCAAGGTCCTTGGAGTTGAGCAGACTGGTTGAAAACGTGTGCATTATATACCTCACACTTCATTTCACCTCTGTTCTGAAAACACCAAGTTTAGGCTACTGTAAAATATGACCGGTCTAGATTTGGTTGCTTTTCAACGTGTGTTCTTTGTGTCCTCACCCCTCAGGTCATGTATGGTGCACTTGTAGCCTGCTTGGTGATGCGCTCTATCTTCATAGTTACATGGTAAGTGGCAGTGTGGCAGCAACGTGGCCAAGTAGTTTAGGTAATGAACTGATAACTAAGGTCAAGAGTACATTTATTATCCTTACAATGTATGAATTGTATAATAGCCACTCACTCACTGGATGCTGCTGGTATCCTGATATTTGTGATTCTGGATGACAACATTTTCAGAAACTACAGTACAAAGTAGGGCTATGTTATAACAATGTTTATACATCTCATCTGACTCCATGTGTTTCCATTGCAGGGTGTACCCCTGGCTCAAACCTATGTGTTACATCTCCCTAAGTGTCTTCCTGCTGGGGTTTCTGTTGTGGAACATTGATAATCTGGCCTGTGACTCACTCAGGTAAATATACAACCAACTGACAAATGCTGCCAACAGAATATGGACATCCATTTGTAGACAGAATCAAAATGTAAAATTCTCTACTCCACACTCTCCTTTTAGATCCACCAGACAGCGACTGCCCCCTGTTGTTGGGGCGGTGACACAGTTCCATGCCTGGTGGCACATCCTCACAGGCCTGGGCTCCTACCTACACATACTCTTCAGGTAAGCCATGAATAGATCTATAGGCCTTATAAAGGATCCGCTCTTTGTATTTGTATATGTACAGCCTGCATTAGCTGGCTGTATTTGTTCCCACTTAAATTGATTTATGCTGCTTCAAGAACATCGTCATTGTTAGATTAAAAACAGACTGGTATCTTGAGTAGTTTATGACTTAAGTGCAATGACTGATTTAGATGATTCCTACAACAATGTGTCACTAAAAAATCAAATATGTTCTGTTGTCATGTAGCCTCCAGATAAGGTCAACCTTTCTCAAACACAGACCAAAAGTAAAGGTAAGCGTGCTCTCATCCTCCCAGTTCTTCAACACATCCCAGTCCTATGCTTGTGTAAATGGCACCACAATACCAACACTAACCTAACACTGGTCTACAATGTGTTCAATCAGTTCCTATGTGGAGTGTGGCCCATGTTGCACATTGAGGCTCAAAAGACTAGCTGAGTGACTGGGGACCATGAAGGATGGTGACTGCCATTCAACAGGCATCAGCACAGGGACCTGACCTGCCAGTCTGCCAACCCCCCTCTGCTGTCTATGGGACACATGCACCCCACTACCAGAGGGCAGGCAGGCTACACCCCAACCTACCACTCCGGGGACCCTTTGGTTCTGCACTGTGACGATTTGCCAAGTGCAGTATAGCGTTGAGAGTTGACATGGAATTAATTAATTAATCTTTCATCGATCACAATATAGTAGATTATTAGATTTTGGTGGTGATGTTGTAGTGACTTTTTGTTTAAATTTGCTCCAACATGGATATTTCCTGGAATATGGTTGGTCTCTTGCTCTCGCTCGCTCTCTCTCTCGCTCTCTCTCTCATATATATCATACTATTGTATCTATCATAACATTCAATATAACACCTTAGCATATTCACAAACCATAATAACGTCAGGTAGTCTGCATTAGCTGGCTGTTTTTGTCATGGTTGTTTAGACCAGGTTTGTTATCTGGTCTAGATGATGCAGTGTGCTGGTCACAGATGGGACTGAAACAGAGACCGCAGGAAAAGGTTTAATATCAATTACCTTGGCCATTTATGTCCTCTGCAAGGGCTTGGTCACACAGAAACTCTGACTTAAATTGCATATATTTGATGTATGCCAAGTGTGGATCTGCATTATACATGTATTTGCAAAATCTGAAGTTGCTCTGAGATTGTGTTTTTGATGATGTACTTTAATATTATTAACAAATCGAAGGGAGATGATACAATTTCATCTAAAGATTGTTCCACTGCACAAAATTGAGTACCATTTATATCATAGTGGGGATTAAGTACCATTTATATCACAGTGTCATTCTTTTCATGTGTACTTAAAAAAAAAAAAAAAAACCTACGGTTTCTTTTTATTTCCAAACACAAAATATCATAAAGGCTTACCTAAAATGCATATATCTGCACAAGCTTTGGTGTTGCTGTCAAAACAAGGAATGAGGGATGAGAAAATAGTGTTTTGACTGACCACTGACCCCGACTGGATCATTTGGAGTGGTTTCTTTTTGGATGGATTTGCCAATTACATTTACATTTTAGTCATTTAGCAGACGCTCTTATCCAGAGCGACTTACAGTTAGTGAGTGCATACATTTTTCATACTGATATCAATTGATATCCATACTTTGTCTTAGCAATGAATACAGGTATCTACATGTCTGCAATATTTAAATTATTATCATTGTCCTGTATTATCCCACACACATTTGTCCCAAGCATGACACTTCTGAACCTGTTAGTATCTACTGTACCACTCAGTTCATGTCTCCTGAGTGGCGCAGTGGTCTAAGGCACTGCATCGCAGTGCTAGCTGTGCCACTAGAGATCCTGGTTCGAATCCAGGCTCTGTCGTAGCCGGCCGTGACCGGGAGACCCATGGGGCGGCGCGCAATTGGCCCAGCGTCGTCCAGGTTAGGAGAGGGAATGGCCGGCAGGGATGTAGCTCAGTTGATAGAGCATGGCGTTTGCAACGCCAGGGTTGTGGGTTCGATTCCCACAGGGGGTATGAAAAAAATAATAATAATGTAAGTCGCTCTGGATAAGAGCGTCTGCTAAATGACTTAATGTAAATGTAAATGTATATCTTTTGTAATGATAGATTTGGACAAACACTCAGTCCTTATGGCCACTAGATGGCATGGATTGCCATATTTCAGTTTTAGGTTATATGTTCATTTGCCGAAGGATCCTGTTCTGTGAAAGGTTTGCCTGCTAAACATCCTTCAGTTTTATTTGTTTAACTCTTACGGGTCACAAATGTAAACATATTGGGGAAATGCTGTAGCTTACAATGCAGCATTTTGGGGATTTGTCTATGTGAAACTTCATGTGACTTTGATCTTCAAATGTGAAAATGTAATGTACTTATGTATGGGAATAATATACTATGTGTATCTTAAGTAATGGAATAACACAGATATGAAGTGGATACAGAGTGTGATACAAGAACCCATGAACCTCAGATATTATGGAGTACCTGAACTGCTACATGCTCAGATATTGTGACACATGCATAACACTGTTTTAATTAGGGTTACATTCGCATTGTTGTTGTTCTCAAACCTCAGATTAGGTTACAATAATGTTTATGTTAAGCAGCACTAAATATGAAGGAGAGATAAGTAGTTGTCAGTACAGTTGTCATTTAGAAATGACAATGTATTTAATGACCTTAAATCACTGCTTGTAAGAGTTGGAGGGTGAACGGTTATTACTGATAAGGGCGCCTTATTTCAAGTTGCCTTGATGTTCACGATCAATCTAAACTGCTTAAATAAAATCACCAGTGTGTTTTAGGAACACTTGTCTACTGTGATAAAGTCAGTGCAAATAGCCCTGCCAAGGTTTTGGATGATGCGAATGGCCATGTAAAAATCATTCATAACCTGTCTTGTCTGATTCAACTATATGTTCCAATCTAACATTATAGCTACATAATACGTTAACAAATGTATTTTGTTTGATGTCATCTGTTATCTAATCGATAGCCAGAACCTACTGTAGTTTTACATAAAAAACTCAATCTGATGATTGTAGATGACAGAATCACACCCGTCTATATATTGTGTTTGTTTAGTTGGTAAATGTTCAAACCTTTACCAATTGATGCTCAGAGTTATGTTATTCATAATCTAGGCTCAGGGTGGCAGTGTTAACAGAAAAAAATCTCAGGTTTACAACACACCCAATGCTTCTACCGTAGCATGCTATGCTTGTGTGGTGATGAATACAGTGGAAAAATACTGATCACTAAAGAAACACCCATGAATGACTCATGGTTTTGATACCATGTCTGCCACCAGTTTTATATATCTTATCATTATGGATCATAATCGTAACTAGTCAGAGATACAGGTGTTGGGTCATGCACTTTTGAGGTGTCAGGTAGTAGTAGTGAGCTACGTCACTGTTTGGTTTACTGCCATTAAAGAGACGGCATATTTTCCTGAATGCCCTAGCTGACGTCCAATGAACTACTTACTGGAAGTGAACAACATTCAAGATGTACTGTAAAGTGCTACATTCATTCAAAGTGTTTGAGGAGTAAGAGCTAACAGCCCCGAGCAAAATATCAATTTTTGAGGGGAAGATTGTATAAGGTTGTCTAAGCTGATTGTCTGAAAGCTTTACTGAGAGAAGTATTACATAATTTCCCCTCTCCTCTTTGTCTCACTTGTAAAATGTGTAGTACATAGGCTAGGCAATATTGACTCACTGTCATGTGAGTATGTAGGAGTATAATGATGTCTGGCTGTTGTGTTGACATGAAACTGCAAAGTGATGTGGAATTCCACTACTGTCCAAGGTAAACAAACTGTGTGTGTTCGTCAGGAGTATGCGTTATCCAAGAGTCAAACACTTAATGCAAGGAATAATCTCCCCAAAACATTACAATGACTCTTTCCTTTGAGTTACCATGACTTTAGAGTCTGATCAGACAAGTCTGAAACATGCACTGGGTGACAAAAAATATATGAAGTGTGATTATTTTCTACTGCAAACCTCATTAAAAAACGTGTTCACAATACAGATATGGGAGTGTTTACAGTACAGAATCTAGAGGCAAGTCAGAACAAATCTGTTCCACCAAAGAATTACAACACAGCTAATCTGCCCCTGCTCCTTCTCATCGAATCAACAAGCTGTTCAACACTAAACACACACAATCACTATCCCATTTTCCCAGCAGGTTCTCTAGTGTTTTTTGTGAAATGTGTGTATTACCTGCCTTAGTAATTACAGTATATTTTTGTTTTTCATAGATAGGGATTTTATCAGATTAACACTCTGCCAAAGACTATTGTCCAGCCCAAGAACTACATGTCATTTAGTTTTTTGTTTTTAAGGGTCTTTGAGATTATCTGTATAATATATAAAATATACAATTATTATTATTACTCTTAGTTTTGTGAATTCTATGGGCCTTTTGCAATCAAAAGGGTTTCTGGGTTCAACGACTGAGAATACAAGATTAGAATGATCTAACACATTAGATAGTGAAAACTATGAATTAAATGCAAATAAACAAGACAAAACCACAAAATACAACCAGTATTGATTGCAATTAGATTTGATCATGTATCTTGTGCATCTCAGTTTTGTCCCTGTATTTAGTTGAGCAAGTACCAATGCATGTACTGTAGAACTGTGTGGAAATGAGGTTAAAAAAAAAACAACAACAACACCCCAGTGAAGTTTTCAGTAGTGGTGACCAATCTGATAAAGTCCCTGAGCCATTCTTCCTGTGTTATAAACACTCCCTGCTCTGAGACGGTAGTATCACTGGGCAGAGCTCTGGAAGTGTGCTACCTGTACACCTGGTGTTTCAGTTAATATGTAATCTAAGAGTCAGCTGGAAACAACATGGTGTAGGTAGAATAGTTTCACTCACATAGAAACCTGGTACATACAGTACATTAAATTACATATTATGATTCTCTGTCTCTACATCTTATTGATTGTTTTTGTTCCAAGGTTCATATTCATTCCTGTTCTCTCTTGCAACAGAGATTAAAGGTTAAACAAGGCAACAGTAAACATGTCGTCCCTCACGAATATCGCGTGACTAACACATTTCAGTTAATCACTAAAGCTCCCGCCTTCAGTGTAATTTAGTAAATACCGGATCTCTATGGCAAGACGCATAATTCACTCAAGTTTAATCAAAATCGGGCCAGTGCTGTCTGAGATATCACATGTGACTAACGTACTAACGGATGGCGACAGATCATGGGGGACAATAAACATATTTTGTGGCCAAATAGGGTGAAGGGTCAGAAAGCAAACTTATGTAAACTGTACAAAAATATAAACGTAACATGTGAAGTGTTGGTCCCATGTTTCATTAGCTTAAATAAAAGTTCCCCAAAATGTTCCATACGCACGGTCCCCTGACAACCCCAGCAAAGGACAGGCCTTCAGGTGTATTCGGCTGAACAGGTTGCAGAGGGAGGATCCAGAGCTGCTACGGGCCTGCCAGGAGAGTGGGGTTCAGTACAAGGACCTTGGCCTGCCCAGGGGAGGTGTGCTGCAGGTATGGAGAGAAGAACCATGCTTTCACGGTGGCCAGTTTCTTTGGTGATGAGGATGTGACTAAGAAGGTGACCAGCGCTGTGGAGAGGGGGACATCTGACTACCACTCCGGTTCCACCTCAGATGAGGATAGTGGTCTCAGGGAAACCCGTCCTCCCCTTTCCTTCCCCCAAAATCATCACACATACCAGGTGATCTACTCAGCTGCTCCTTTGTGGCGTCCTCCTGTGCCCACGCAGAAGAAGCCCGGTAAAGGATATAACGTCCCTCCATGTCCTCCTCACTATGGCTTCAGACAACAAGGCAGACCCACCCCTTCACAGACACAACGGCTGGGCTCTGCCTGGCCAGAGAGGGGGTCACGGGTACTGGGGTGGCACTCCAGGCCTGGCTTACTGTTAGGGACCACTGTAGCAAGTGTTGACGTTAGTATAAGCCTGTTCCAGGTGCCCAAGTTACCTGAGCTGTTGAGGATAACCACTAGAGCAAGCAATAGTTAATGGGCAGCAGGTAGCCTAGCGGTTAAGAGCGTTGGGCCAGTAACCGAAAGGTTGCAGGTTTGAATCCCTGAGCTGACTAGGTAAAAAAATATTCGATGTGCCCTTGAGCAAGGCACTTACATTTGTCATTTAGCAGACGCTCTTATCCAGAGCGACTTACAGTTAGTGAGTGCATAATTTTTCTTTTTTCATACTGGCCCCCCGTGGGAAACGAACCCACAACCCTGGCGTTGCAAGTGCCATGCTCTACCAACTGAGCTACACGGGACACTTAACCCTAATTGCTCCTGTAAGTCGCTCTGGATAAAAGCATCTGCTAAATGACTAAAATGTAAATAGGGCAGTGTGGGTGAGACAGGTGTGAGTCACTTATTGAGAGCTTGCCAATTAGGAACTGAGTCATGTCTGGAATACCCAGATTCATAGATTGTTCAAATACACTACATGAACACAAGTATATGGACAACTGCTTGTTGAACATCTCATTCCAAAATCATGGGCATTAATATGGAGTTGGTCCCCCTTTTGCTGCTAGAACAGCCTTCTCTCTTCTGGGAAGGCTTTCCACTAGATGTTGGAACATTGCTAAGGAGACTTGCTTCCAATCAGCCACAAGAGCATTAGTGAGGTCGGGCACTGATGTTGGGCGATTAGGCCTGGCTCGCAGTCGGTGTTCCAATTCATCCCAAAGGTGTTCAATGGGGTTGAGGTCAGGGCTCTGTGCAGGCCAGTCAAGTTCTTCCACACCGATCTCGACAAACCTCTTCTGTATGGACCTCGCTATGTGCACGGGGGCATAATCATGCTGAAACAGGAAAGGGCCTTCCCCAAACTGTTGCCACAAAGTTGGAAGCACAGATTCGACTAGAATGTCATTGTATGCTGTTGCGTTAAGATTTCCCTTCACTGGAACTAAGGGGCCTTGCCCGAACCATGAAAAACAGCCCCAGACCATTATTCCTTCTCCACCAAACTTTACAGTTGACACTATGCATTCGGGCAGGTAGCATTCTCCTGGCATCCGCCAAACCCAGATTCATCCGTCGGACTGCCAGATGGTGAAGCGTGATTCATCACTCCAGAGAACGCGTTTCCACTGCTCCAGAGACCAATGGCGGCGAGCTTTACACCACTCCAGCCGACGCTTGGCATTGTGCATGGTGTTCTTAGGTTTATGTGCGGCTGCTTGGCCATTGAAACCCATTTCATAAAGATCCCGACGAACAGTTCTTGTGCTTTCATTAGGCAGTTTGGAACTCGGTAGTGAGTGTTGCAACCGAGGACAGACGATTTTTACGCGCTACGCGCTTCAGCACTCGCCGGCCCCGTTCTGTTAGCTTGTGTGAACTTCCACTTCGAGTCTGAGCGGTTGTTGCTCCTAGACGTTTCCACTTCACACTTACAGTTGACCGGGGCAGCTCTAGCAGGACAGAAATTTGACGAACTGACTTGTTGAAAAGGTGGCATCCTATGACGGTGCCACGTTGAAAGTCACTGAGCTCTTCAGTAAGGTCATTCTACTGCCAATGTTTGTCTATGGAGATTGCATGGCTGTGCGCTTGATTTTATACACTTGTCAGCAATGGGTGTGGCTGAAATAGCTGAATCCACTAATTTGAAGGGGTGTCCACATACTTGTGTATATATAGTGTAGTTAATGGCTTTGATACAATTGTACTCATTTGCAGTTTAAATCTGAATTGCAGCATACATACACTGTAAAACCAACTGTTCAGGATCTGATCACTTAACTAAACACTTTTCTGTTACACTTTTTAAACATGGCAAGGCATTTAGAATTTCAATGAAAATGCGTCACAGTTTTTACAATCCAAACACCAGAACATGTTTATTCGCTGTAACATTTTTTAAACACATCAACAAATTTATTCAGCACAAGGTGTTTAGGTTTTAAACACTAAACACTGGGGGTGTTGTTTTAACACTGTAAGGTGTAAAGCCGTATTTCCCAGCATGCCTTTCGAGTGAAAGTGAGAGACATGGTTGTTGCATTCAATAACTTAGATTCCTGGAGCTAGTTTATGTGTTTAAATTTAAAGTAAATCCTTTATGACCACATATTATAGATTTCATAAGGCCTTTAGTTATGGCCTAGTTATCCTCAACATTGTGGTCTGAAAATCCTGGCTCATGGGCCACATCAGACATGCAAGTCACAATACACTAGTTTGTGAAGTGTTAGTAATTCCTATCAAAATCCAGGGATGATTTCCAAGAATTTGAATATTTCATCACTCACAACCTGCACTCAGAATGACTGCTATGGTGAATAATTTATTATCCAAGACTGCCTAAAATATCTAAACTGGAACAACCATCTCAGTAACGGGTGCAATAAATCCAACCCCTACAAATTTGATTAGTTTAGAAAAATTTCAGTTATTTATCTTTGTATAGTATTAAATAAATTAAAAGTATTTGACCCCCTCTCAATCAGAAAGATTTCTGGCTCCCAGGTGTCTTTTATACAGGTAACGAGCTGAGATTAGGAGCACACTCTTAAAGGGAGTGCTCCTAATCTCAGTTTGTTACCTGTATAAAAGACAACAGTCCACAGAAGCAATCAATCAATCTGATTCCAAACTCTCCACCATGGCCAAGGAGCTCTCCAAGGATGTCAGGGACAAGATTGTAGACCTACACAAGCCTGGAATGGGCTACAAGACCATCGCCAAGCAGCTTGGTGAGAAGGTGACATCGCAACAGTTGGTGCAATTATTCGCAAATGGAAGAAACACAAAATAATTGTCAATCTCCCTCGGCCTGGGGCTCCATGCAAGATCTCACCTCGTGGAGTTGCAATGATCATGAGAACGGTGAGGAATCAGCCCAGAACTACACGGGAGGATCTTGTCAATGATCTCAAGGCAGCTGGGACCATAGTCACCAAGAAAACAATTGGTAACACATTGCGCCATGAAGGACTGAAATCCTGCAGCGCCCGCAAGGTCCCCCTGCTCAAGAAAGCACATATACAGGCCCGTCTGAAGTTTGCCAATGAACATCTGAATGATTCAGAGGAGAACTGGGTGAAAGTGTTGTGGTCAGATGAGACCAAAATCGAGCTCTTTGGCATCAACTCAACTCGCCGTGTTTGGAGGAGGAGGAATGCTGCCTATGACCCCAAGAACACCATCCCCACCGTCAAACATGGAGGTGGAAACATTATGCTTTGGGGGTGTTTTTCTGCTAAGGGGACAGGACAACATCACCGCATCAAAGGGACGATGGACGGGGCCATGTACCGTCGAATCTTGGGTGAGAACCTCCTTCCCTCAGCCAGGGCATTGAAAATGGGTCGTGGATGGGAATTCCAGCATGACAATGACCCAAAACACACAGCCAAGGCAACAAAGGAGTGGCTCAAGAAGAAGCACATTAAGGTCCTGGAGTGGCCTAGCCAGTCTCCAGACCTTAATCCCATAGAACATCTGTGGAGGGAGCTGAAGGTTCGAGTTGCCAAACATCAGCCTCGAAACCTTAATGACTTGGAGAAGATCTGCAAAGAGGAGTGGGACAAAAACCCTCCTGAGATGTGTGCAAACCTGGTGGCCAACTACAAGAAACGTCTGATCTCTGATTGCCAACAAGGGTTTTGCCACCAAGTACTAAGTCATGTTTTGCAGAGGGGTCAAATACTTATTTCACTCATTAAAATGCAAATCAATTTATAACATTTTTGACATGCGTTTTTCTGGATTTTTTGTTGTTGTTATTCTGTCTATCACTGTTCATATAAACCTACCATTAAAATTATAGACTGATCATGTCTTTGTCAGTGGGCAAACTTACAAAATCAGCAGGGGATCAAATACTTTTTTCCCTCACTGTAGGTGTTCTCCTGGTTGAAAACTGCCTGGAAAAAGCTGACTATCATGTTTAATCTTGCATTCTAAATGCCTGTGTCTAAGACGAGGACACTTATTGGCAAATCTAAATGCCTTATGTTTACATTTTAAACACTGACGTTTAGGTTATAAACGTGTCACAGTTTTCATGGTTTTATAGTGCAGGCCTACGTAAGTAAATATAATATGAATTTGTTTGTGAAGTTACTGGTATTTGAGATAAGGTGTTCAATATTACAGTTAAGCAGCATTAAGCAGTCTTACAAAGTAAGGCAAAGGGCTGTTGTAATATCTGTCAGTCTGAGTAGGGGGAAGGTTTGTGACTGGATCGTTTGGATCTGCCACTGACATGGCCTCTCATCTGAAGAGGCAACCATTGCTTTAATCATGGGATTTCGCAAGCTTCTGGGCAAGGATCTGCAGAGGTGGGACTCCAAGGACTGCAAGCCCAGGTCATTGTATGCAAATTCACAGGACGTGTAGGTGGGGTCCATGATGATTTCGGTTGAATGCCTTTTGATATTTTCAAGTTGGTTGTGTTGGTGGACTGTGAGACCTGGGTGCCACACCGGAGCAGCATAATCGAGCACTGGACAGACAAAGCAGATGTTGACTGTCAGAGGGTGGGTTGCATGTGAAGATGGTTGCATGTCCCATTTTAGATTGGCTTGGAATGTCACGCTGAGCGCTTTGGCACTGGATACTACCTCAAGTGGAGCGGTAGCCTCGAGGTTCGAGAGGTGGGCCGGTATTCGAATCCCCAAGAAGCCTGCGGGGAAATCTGCAGGGAGTGAGCGAAAGGGCTTGGATATCCTGTAAACTACCTACCGCTGTTGTGCCCTTAAGCAAAGCACTTTACTCCTAAATGCTCCAGGGGCGCTGCTCGGCAGCATAAAGAATATCTGGGCAAACGGACCAATAAAGCATGTATTGTATTGTATAGACAGCATTTGGCTGCAATTTTCTTATTTTAAATCTTGCTCTACTTGACTTCTACTTAAAGGGCAACTCCGCCACTCTGTCACTTTTCAAC